CTAGCCGATGTTATTTTCACCTAAAAAAAGGTTCGAATTTAGGGGGTCGGATCGGGCCAATGGTTCCAGCACAACATCTACGGTAAGATTGAAATCTCCCATTACAATCCATGACAAATTTTCTTTAAGCAAGTTTTAAATTGGGGAAGAGAAGAGCCCTCCCTTGAATTGCCAAAAACTTGATACTTGGTTTATTAACTAGTAATTCAAATTAAGACCATATATATAAATTAGAATCTTTAATAATATCTTTGCAAAATACGCTGTAGAAAGATTTGACACATTAGCCACTCCACATTGATACAATGCCAACGCTGCCATGGATTAGGCTACATATAGAGCCGTCATTACGAGCTTGGACCGTTGGGTCAGTCCATTCCAACCCGTGATTTAGCAGGCTTGGGCTAAAAATTTTGAGGCTTATTTAAAAACGAGGCTTTTACCCCCGGCCCGAGTAAGGATGAAATTCAAAAATAGCTTGATTTACAAGTGGTCATTCAAAAGTAGCCACAATTTCAAAAGTAATCGAAATTTAGTCACTTTTCATGTAAAGATAAATCTGAACAAAAATACTATTCAAAATCCGAAAAATACTCTGGTATAATATATTGATATACTGGAGTTCTAGCATAAGTATACTGGAACTCTAGTATATTATACTGGAGTTCCAGTATAATATGCTGGACTTCCAACATAATATATTGGAGTTACAGTATAATATATCGGTCTAGCATAATATGCTGGAAGATTATACATAGGTGCTCCAATCTCTGGTATATTATGCTGGAACTTTCCGCGTGTTGGAGTTCTAGCATAATATGCTGGAAGATTATACATAGGTGCTCCAATCTCTGGTATATTATGCTGGAACTTTCCGCGTGTTGGAGTTCTAGCATAATATGCTGGAAGTTCATACACAGGTACACCGATGTCCAGTATATTATGCTAGAACTTTCCGTGTTGCAGCAAAATAGTGACTATTTTTCATTGACTTTGCAAATGCTGGCAATTTTTGAATGGCCAGTCCGAAAATTATCTAGCCCGTGCTATTTTTACCCTGAGTAAGCCTGTGGCCCGTGAGGCTTGACTGAGGTTGGGCTGGGCCGGTCCATGGGCTTAATAAAAATATGTATTTAAAATATACAAAATATAAAAATTATATGACACAAAAAATATCAAGAAGAGTATCCCGAGCTTAAAGTTTATTAAGCTCATCTAGAAGATCAAAGTCTTAAAACTTTAATTAAATTTAAAAATTTAATTATTCTTGATATTTAACTAATTAATATTGCATACTAATTGTAAATGTAGATGAAAGTAAAGATGTTAAGACAACCTTCTTAACTTATTTTAAAACGAAATTCCGTGTTCTGAGGCTTTGAAAACCTCATTTAGAGTCACCTCGATTTGCATGCATAGTCCGGGCGCGTAGCCGGAAAGCTTAAATATGATAATCTATGAAAAATGATAAGTTTTGATTATAGAATGAACTAATTTGACTTTGGTCAATGTTTTGGGTAAACGGACCCGGATCCGTGATTTGATGGTCCTAGAGGGTCCGTAGAAAAACATGGGACTTGGGCGTATGCCCGGAATCGAATATCGAGGTCCCAAGCTCGAGGAATGAATTTTTAAAGGAAATTATTTTCTGGAATTGTTTAAAGAAATTTAAAATGAAATTTGATTAAAACGTGATGGTATCGGGCCCGTATTTTGGTTCCGGCAGCCGGTACATGTCTTATATATGATTTAAGACATTTCTGTGGAATTTGGTGAAAAATGGATGTCATATGACGTGATTCGGACTTAAATTGCAAAATTTATGTTTAAAGAAGTTTTGAGAAAATTTCATTGACCTCGAGAATTAATTTGATGTTCATGATGTTATTTTGATGATTTGATTACACGAGTAAGTCCATATGATGTTTTTGAGTTAGTATGCACCCTTGGTTTGAAATTTCGAGGGCTTGGGTGAGTTTCGGGTAGGTTCGGGATGTTTTAGACTTAAAACTAGAAGTTGCAGGTCTATGAACCCGCCAGTGCGGTCCGCACAAAATGCGTGCGACCGTGGAAGGGGGGCCAGTGCGGTCCACGGTCGGTTTCATGCGGTGCGCGGTGGAGGCCTGTGCGACCGCAGTCCATTTTGTATGGTCCGCACCGGGCACTGGACCGCAGTACCTCAGTAAGGCCTGTACGGCCGCAGTCCATTTTGTGCGGTCCGCACAGGGGGTCTGAGAGGGGTATAAATAAACGAGATTTTCAGTTATTTTGCATTTTTCCAAAACCCCAAAAATATAAGAGGCGATTTTTCAAACAACCTTTCTTCTCCAAATCAATTGTAAGTCGTTTTTAACTAGTTTTCTTCAATCATTAACACCTTTTAACATGATTTCAACTTCAAATCAATTATTTTTATGGAGGAATTGGGTGTTTTGGATAGAACCTAGGTTTTTCAAAAATTAGGGGTTTGGACCTCGATTTGAGGTCCGATTTCAAAACAAATTACATATTTGAGCTCGTGGGGGAATAGGTAATCGGGTTTTGGTTCGAACCTCGGGTTTTGACCACGTGGGCCTGGGGGCAATTTTGACTTTTTAGGTAAAACTTTGGAAAACTCATTTTTCATGCATTCAAATTGATTCATCTAGCGTTTATTGATGTAATTAAGCAACTTGTGGCTAGATACGAGCGAATTGGCGGAGGAATCGAGGGGTAAAGCTATAATTGAAACTTGAGTTATGTTCGAGGCATCGAGGTAAGTGTTCGGTCTAACCTAGCTTGAGGGATTAGGAGTTGAGTCTTATTTTCTACGTGATAATTGTTGAGTATGACGTATAGGCATGGTGACGAGTATCTATACGTTGGTGTCCAGCATGACCGTGAGTCTTTAAATTTTGAAGATCTTGATTTCGTTGTATCTTTCATGCCTTGGTGATGATTTCTAATTGTTGTGGAAAGTTTGTGGAAGGAATTGTAACCTTTGAACATCGAGGAGCATTGACTCAAGTTATATTATGAATTGTGAAAGTATATAAGATGATTGAACCCTTTGGAGCATTGGCTCAAGTTATATTATGAATTGTGAAAGTATATGAGATGATTGAACCCTTTGGAGCATTGACTCAAGTGGTAAAGTGAGTTATGAAATAAAAGTGAAAGAAAGAGAAAGAGTTATTAAATTGTCCCCTTGCCAGGATATTGTTGCTTTGTTGATTATCTCCCTTACCGGGATGTTGAGATTATTGATGTTGTTCCCTTGCCATGACTTAATTGTTTAACTGTTGTTCCCTTGCCGGGATCTATATTACTATTTTGTTTATTCCCTTTCCCCTTTGCTTGTGATTGTTGTTTGGGTGAGGAAGAGTGTTAAAACACGAAGGGTAATGCTGTGCATTGTTTGCTATTGTAAGGAAAGAGTGTAAAGCACGAAGGGTGATGTTGTGCCGTACGATGCACCATTCCGTACCGATTTTCTTTGATTATATGGTGAGGAAAGAGAGTAAAAGCACGAAGGGTGGTGCCGTGCACATCTTTATTATATGATGATTTGGTGAGGACGAAAGTAAAAGCACGAAGGATGATGCCGTGCAAATTGTTGATTTCTGATTCTTTGTTGCTATTCGAGTTATGTTGTTTCTTTCCTTACTTGATGCTTTCTATTCGGAACTGTTATCTCCCCCACAACATGTTTCCCCTTCCCACATTGACTGATTATTTTCTGTATTTCTTTCCTCGTTGTATACACATTTGAACTGCACAAGTTTATTTGGTAGTCTGGTCCTAGCCTCGTCACTACTTCGCCGAGGTTAGGCTAGACACTTACCAGCACATGGGGTCGGTTGTGCTGATACTACACTCTGCACTGTGTGCAGATCTAGGAGCAGCTTTCGGACAGTGGTTGGAGTGCTTCCTTCAGTCCACCCGGAGACCCAAGGTAGACTGCAGGCGTTTGCAGGCCCTGGCGTCTCCCTCTATCTCTACTTCCTGTTTCATTCTCTCTTATTCAGAAACAGCGTACTGTTATTTCTTCAGACCTTGTATGTAGAAATCTTAGATAGTCTGTCACACTGTGACACCAAGTCTTGGGTATTTGAGGTTTTAAAAGTTGTAATAGACGTAAACTTAAGATATTTAATTGTTGACTTCTGCTAAATTATTTAAAGTTCCGTTGTTACCATGTTATCACCTTGTGTTTGTTAAAATGAAGCAATATGGAAGCATAGCAAGTAGTTAAGGTTTGGCTTGCCCAGTTCTCATTAGTAGACGCCATCACGACCCCCGAGGTTGGGAAATCCGGGTCGTGATAGCGGATTCAAATGTGATTGATGAAAATGATGTGCTGAATATCCCATAAGCGTCATGAACGTTCTCTTGAATAGTTTTGTTGGAGTTTTGACTTTTAGTGAAGGAAATATAGTCTTGTTTTTTACTTTGTGTTTGATATATTGACACAATATAAAAAGTTATTAAGTTTTGTGAAATTTTTCCAATAAGATTTTTTTAACTTTTAAATATCTATCTTTTTTTTTAAAGTTAGAACTTTAAGAAAAAATATAATATTATATTTTAAAAAATGATGGACCAGCCCGTGGGAGGCCGCAACCCTCATAGGGCTGGGGTGGACTAACCGTTATAAGGACCATTAAAATGGTGGGCTAGCCTAGCCTAACCCGTCAATTACTAAAGCTTACGTGGGCTGGAATGAGCTAGCCCGGCCCCACCCATATTGACAGTTCCAGCTACAACTAATGTTATCTTTTCATGGTTGAGGTTCGATAACCTCTTGCAATGTAACTATGTGAGGATAATAGTCGTTTAGCACATTTTTATAGCTTAATATTTGTACTTTCTTTCTTTCCCTCTCTTATTTTGGGTAGATTTTTCTTGCTCCTTGTAATATGAGTTGTGTTTGGCAGAGGAGGATTAGAGTCAAAGTACCTTTTTCTTAACGATAGAAATAATTTTTAATGTGTTCCATTTTCAAAGAGTGCAACCTTTCATTCAAAACCACACCGCAGGTATTTTGAAAAAGCTGGGCATTGAAAAAGAGGCTTAGTTTTGTCATTACCTGGGCATTAGTTTTGTAATTTTTAATTTGTCCTGGATTCATTAAGCTTTTTGAAGTTTTTCAAAAACTTCCTTCAATAGTTGCTCCGCCACTTCGGCCGGTGTCACCATCGCAGTTTCTATCAGTTCCTCAATTATTTTGAACAATTTGTTCTCTGTAATGCCCAGGTAATTAGCAGCAAGAAGCCTGAAGCCACAGGGGGTGCAATATGACATATGAATGTGCATGTCCATTCTACCAGGCCTTAACAATGCAGGGTCAAGCTTTTCTATGTGATTTGTTGTGAAAATTATGATTCTTTCATCACCACAGCTCGACCATAATCCATCAATAAAATTCAACAAACCAGATAATGTCACCTGCAATGAACAATAAAATATGGAAATCTAAGTGAATCGGAATACTTTTAAAGTAAGACAAGAAAATACAAGTTAAAATCAAAGAGACTTGCCTTGCTTTCTTGCTGATTAGAACTGTTTGAAGGAGAATCATTTGCTCGATTAGCCAAATTATTTTGCAAATCAATGGTACAGTCAATGTCCTCCACCACCAAGATGGACTTGTTAGCCGTGGCCACAAGCAACCGTCTTAAATCAGAGTTCCTCATCAGCTCAGTCAACTCCAGATCATATATATCAAAGCTCAAATAATTAGCCATGGCGGCGATCAAACTTGATTTTCCAGTCCCTGGAGGGCCATACAGCAAGTACCCTCTTTTCCACGCCTTCCCCACTTTCCTATAATAATCTTTTCTCTTCACAAATCTGTCTAAATCCTTCAAAATTTTGTCTTTCAGTTCTGAGTCCATTGCTAGAGTCTCAAAAGTTGCCGGATGATCAAGATTCATTGACTGCGAGTCATACATGTTTTCATGATCCACAGTGTGAATCTTGATTGCCCTTCTCTCAAGTTTCTGCAGCTTTGCTTCTCTTATAATGTAAGGCAAGTAAGTATTAAGAACAAGGTCCTTGTTTTTCTTGTGAAACGTGAGCTCAAAGGTTCTCACCTCAGATCTTTGAGTGGAATTCAGGTCTCTGGGATTATAAAAGTCTCTAGACTCTACTCGTCTACAGAGCCAAACCCACTTGAATTTCTGCCCATTATAAACATCTGTCACCTCCTCATCGCGTTCCATGGTTAAGTTGATATGTTTCTCCTTCTCAGGCTTGCTGATTTTGACTCGACGGGTGTTGGGTGACAGCTTGTTTCCCAAGTACATTTCGGCTGCTTCATAGATGTCATTGTTGACCAAGCCATCAAATTCATCTATTACCATTGTTAGCTGATTTGAGAACCTGCTGAAGATGTTTTTGAGGCCAAAGAAGAAATATTCATGCAATTCTGGAGGAAGGAATTCATTGACTACTGTTCGAACCACCATAGCTGTTGCAGCAACAGAGCCTATTGTGGATAAAACGGTCTTGGCCAGTACCATTTTCGATTCTGCAGAAGAAGACATGTTCTTTAAGAGGGACTCGTCGTTTTGTGGTTGTGGGTATTCAAGATTTTGCTATTTGCAGTAATAGAGGGTATCAGAAAAGTATAACACCACTTTCTGACTTCTCTGAAAGGAACGGGGTGGGACAGGTGATGCGAGACGGTTTGATTGGATGCTAGAATGCAAGCAATGGCTAAAGGGTAAGTGCTAAATTTATAGTAATAAAAACGTGTAAAGAAAAAGGAGTGGAAAGACTTTTGGAACCAGAATTTTTTTTAAGAAAATGCAGAGTCGAGATGAAGATTCTATTTATCCAGCCACTCACATCAGCACGTCTAGCTTCCTTCCAACTTCTTTAACGGGGAAAGTTTCCATTTCAACTCAAATCAACGATTATAGACATAACTTCCGAGGAAAAGTCAACGTAAGAAAACATGACAGGTGCCTTGGGTAGAAGTAGTCCTCCATTTGTCATATTTCATACACGGTATGGAATTTAAGATGCTAAACTTGACTTAAATATTATATTACCGATAATGAGAAACTGCAGTGCAGTTCAACTGCCTTCTATCAAATCCAGGCACCATCAGGTACCAGATTATATCTGGCCGCAAAGGTAGAGTTGACTACTGCATGCAGAACATGTGTTGCAACATCTAGGAGAATTTCTATCCACCATAAAAACAAACTAATACTCAAAGTATAAATTATTATTGAAAGAGGGATAATAATTAGTATTCCTTGTGGAGTATGCTTATCTTCAACTTCAGATATATATTACAGCATATAAAGCACTATGCCCAGGCACAGAAGAGGCGAATGGAGACCTTCAAGACAACAATATCCAATCGCTCAAGGGAAACGACCATCAAGAGAACTTCATGCAGTCTATGCTGCAGAGGGATTCGTATCCAGCCAATGAAAAGGTTGACGATGAGAGTAGATCATGGATAATTTGTTAAATCTAAAGATTCAGGACAGACAACAACTGTGGATGCAGTGCCATCGTGTGCCAAGTTGCTGCTTAAATACAGAGAAGCCCAGGACAGACTCAGGGTAACTCTATGCATACTTCCCTGTCTCCGAAGACTAATACGTTGGAAAGAAAGAAAAATAATTTGCCGTCAGTTGTAATTATATGAATGTCTAAAAAACAGATGAATGCTTCATCAGCTTATTAAAACTCAACATCTTTGACAAAAGAAGAAATATTTGCATGTGATTCGCGTCATAAATTTCAGGCTCAAGCTACAAAATTCTTTGAACATTCAAGAGCTTAGAGGACCAAGACTAATATATAAGGAAAGAGATGAAGATCATACATATAGGTCTCGAATTTATAAAGCACCTAAACCCATTGCATCTCACTCCATCGAAATAGATTTGTACTGCTGGATGGTAGCAGTTATAGCTTGCTCAACTGGTAGTCTCTCCATGCTTGAAGCGCCATAAAATCCATGAACTCCTTTGGTTCTCTTCAGTACATATGCTGCTTCCTTAGGGCCAGATATAGGGCCTGTAAGTAATGGAAAGATTCTTCAGTAGCGACTAGATAAATCAGAAGGAGAAGAAAAGAATGTGCCGTTGCAATAAAGACTCAAGAACTGATGATACAAAAAGTTGTCAAACATAAAATCTACTTCCAACGATGTTAATCCTACCCAGAACCCTAGATAATTGTAAAATTTGACAACTAGTATTTGTTTGAAAGCTTAGAATTCTATACCAAATTAGACCTCCCGGATTGCCTTGAGAAAGAACACCATTATACCTTTTGAACAACATTAAGATGTCAAGTAAAATGCTGGAATTACAAAATGGTAGTAATAATTCTAGTCTAGTGACTAGCAAATACTTTATGTTAGAAAAGAAATGCTACGGATATTCTACTACAATATATACCAAGCCTTTGAAGAATGATAGGGGAAAAAAAGAGAAAAAGAAAAGAGAGCAGTTTTAGGACTTAGATAAACACAAATGTAAAGAAGTACCAAAAACTTAACCTCAAGTATACCTCCAAGAACAAAAAATGTCTACTAGCACAAACATAAGATAGCCAGAAATATGTGCATAGGAAATATTTTAGGGTTCCTGGATTTGCCTTAGAATCTTTTAGTTACTTTAGGGTTCCTGGATTTACCTCCATGGCAGAGCACAATAGCATCAGGATTTATCCTATGAGTAGCATCCGCAATAGCTTGGACACAGGTTACACTTTCCTCCAATGAGACAGCTGTTTTTGCACCAATTGAACCAGATGTTGTGAGCCCCATATGGGCCACTATGATGTCAGCACCAGCTTCTGCCATAGCAACGGCTTCATCCGGGCAGAAAGCATATGGGGTTGTCAAAAGGCCCATCCTGTGAGCTGTTGCAATCATCTCAACCTCCAAGCTGAATAAATAGTAAGGAATCATGATATTGTTACAATTTGAAGGAAGGGCATAAGCTAAGTCTGACTAAAACATATCTACTGAGACATACCCATAACCCATTCCAGTCTCTTCCAAATTTTGTCTGAAGTTACCGTCAAATAGACCAACAGTTGGAAAGTTTTGCACCCCACAGAACCCAACAGATTCCAACTGCTTCAGGAAGTTATCCATCCTGCGGAAAGGATCAGTAGCACAAACTCCAGCCAGAACTGGCACTTCCTTAACCACCTGAAGATTTCAACATTGATAGAAACTAAGCCACCATTCTGGAAGGTAAGAATATATCTGAGGAAGGAGAAAGAAACCTCAATCATGGTTATTATTTGCAAGAAAAATAATAAGAAAAGATATATATACATGATGAACAATTATGTTATCTGCTGTAATCCACCTTTGCAATTATAAAGAATGTAAAAAAAAAATTAGTTCGATGCCTGGACTGGTGAGGTTTTCTTTTATCCTATGAGAAATGCAGCAAGTAAAGGTCACAATTAATAGATACCCAGCCAGAAAAGCGGTTCTGTAGGGTTAGTCATTCTTCTACACAATAAAAGTAAACCTCGGATATTCCAAAGATGTAAGTGGACATCTCAACTACATAGCTTTTGATCTAATTCAGTAAGTGTTAGCAGTCCAACTGTGTAATTAGATTATGACTAAGGTCGGACTGAAACTGACAATACAGAAACTGTTGAAAGCACAAAATTGGATTGAAGTATGAACCAATTCTATCTACATTCTTTTTCATCTCTAACCAACCACCAGAGTGATGTGTCCAAGCTTACTGCAAATTTGGCAGGGATTTCCTGAGAGCAATCTTTTTGAGAAAACACAGAGATTTCTAATCCAAGAAAGAGGTACTGACAAGAAACATAGATATGACATGGATCAGCTTTAATGTGTCTGATTATGGGTGTCAACTGGAAGTTAATTTTTTAGACTGTGTTGAGAGCAGGGCTGTCTTGGTATAGTGATCTTCAGTCTTCACTCGTAGTTAGTGCTTTGCTCATGTTGAGTCACGTGGAGGGTTTTATCAATTTGTTAAGCCTTTGAATCAAACATGAACTTGCTAGACAGCAGGTTGTATTTAACTTGAACAGTAAATTCATGTTCAAATCCAATGTGAGCTAAAATTAAACAATAGAAGATTGATGAAGCTGAGCCTAAAAGCCTATAAGGTTTTCAGAAGAATTAAAGAAGTAGACAATAATTAGGACTTACAGGCAATACTTCATTGGCCATCTCAAGTACAATGGCATTTGCATCAGCAAAAGGCAATAGACCAGCTAAGGATCCCCTTCCTGCCATCCTAAAGCGCCCCGAGTTGTACAAGACAATCAAATCTACACCACCAACTTCCTCAAACTTCGCAGAAATACCTGTACCCGCACCAGCCCCAATAATGGGTTTGCCCTTACTTATTTGATCTTTCAACTTCTGCAGTACCGCAATTCTTTTCTGCAAAGTTTCTGCTCAAGGAAGATTAGGCTTTCATCAAATCCTCACCCAAATTAAAAGAAGAAAAGAAAAAGCATTGACTCAGATCTGTGAGATTCATTTCCCCGTTGATGAGTCAGCATATTCCATTTCAAAGACATTCACATAATTGTATTAGAGAGATGATTATGATGACCTATGTTGCGCGGGCTCCTCAAGATGCTGCCATACCCGTGTCGGATCCTCCAAAAATACTATGTTGCGCGGGCTCCTCAAGATGCTGCCATACCCGTGTCTGATCCTCCAAAAATACACTATTTTTGGAGGATCCGACACGCATCTAACAACATTTTTGGAGAGTTCGAGCAACATAGATGATGACAACGAAGGAAAAGAATCCATTATATGGCATTTCAAGCCAGCGCATAACCAGTAAACTATGATAGGTGATAAAGAAAATGGACCTTGGACTAAACTCAACCCCAAAAGCAAGCTCAAGAGGTGAGGATTGCCCGAGCGATATAAAGAGAATATACATCCCTTCACCAACCAATGTGGGATGCTTCTATACCCCCTCACACGCCTAGGACTAGACATCTGGAACGTGGACAATATAATATTGGGATCCAACATCAGGAAACCAAGAAGTGGAATCAGTCTTGCTTTACTACCAATACCATGATAAGAAAATGGACCTTTGGCCTAACTCTACCACAAAAGCTAGCTCAAGAGGCGAGGATTGCCCAAACCATATAAAGAGACCACCCATCCCTTCACCAACCGATGTGGACTCTTCAACAGTAAGCAAATAATTCTTGAGACAAAAATCAATCATATTTCAGGCTAACAAAAGTATAAAGCATACTCTCTAGTTATCTTTCACTTTATTGGTTTCTGTGGCAAGCTAAGGTTGACATAAGTGCCAAGTTATTCCACTTATCATCTTAAATCCAAATTCGGGTCAAGGATAGGAGTGCGTGAGCTTTGGAAAAGACAAGACGAAATGTCTTTTTCTTAATCCTAGAAAATAATGCGAACAACCCAACGCTTCTGTGGGAACTGGTAAATAAATTAATAGAAAGAAACCTGGATTCACAAGCAGTAATCAGTTAGTGGAAGCTGTTCAGTAATTTTCAAGCAGCTCTATTTGCCATGACATTGTGATGGAAACTATCAGCCTTGATATTTAGGAAGAATCATCACCTGGTTTTGCATTTGGAAAGTCGTTGAGGTTAGAAAATGCTTTTCCATTGTGTGGGGAATATTTCTGAAGAACAGCATTATCTTTCTGATTGTCTTGTATAGATTCAGACTCGGCTGGCTGATATTGAACATGTCTAGATTTGGAAGATATTTCCAAGAACGAATCAACTAAAGCATTTGCAAACTCCACATCATTGATATGGTAAGGAAAGATCTTAACCTATCAATGAACAAATATTTCAATGATCTGAGTTGAGTTTAGCAGTGGAATGTAACATCATAAGAATCCTCTTCCTTATAAATAATTGTGGTACCTGACAGTGTTCCCTATTTTTAAGAAGCACCTGTAGCTCATG